CTGAATGGACAAAACCTGCAGCGGTAGCCGTGCTCATCTTCAGCGACGCCCTCGCCATCGAGAAATTGGTTAATTTCACGCTTCACATTTGTGCAAACTTGCTCGAAAACTTGTTCGGAAAATTCATCGCCAAAATCTGCAGGCGGCTGCCGCGCTGCCATGGAGACACCCGCAGCATCATGTGGAACATCTATGCTTGGGCTAGTCGTTTTGATATCATATGCGTGCCAGCTGAAACAATTCAACATGATATAGGGAGGCAGCATACATTGTGTGTTCACTGTTATGAATGACTGTCTGACTGACTGAATGAATGAATGAATGAATGAATGAATGAATGAATGTACTTGTGGTTTATAATTTTTTTAAACGTCAGTTTGCTTGCTAGATCTCTTGCTCGCCAAGTCATATTTGTGCTTTGCATGGTGAACTCATACGTTCTGCGATGGAAATTCGATGATTGGTAATTTCCACTCGCAGCAATGTAAGGAAACCAAATGCAAAAACAGAGGCATAAGTTGGATATTCATCTCCACCATTTGATTTCAATAGTTAAGAAATTGAACGTCTAGAAAAAACATCAGACAGTTGTACCATAGACGTCCGAAAGCAAATCACTGGAGATGGCTTCAGAAAATAATTCTGAAAACGCGTGTCAGAGTATATGTCATAACTGTCTCCAAAAAACGGCCGTTCACATGCTACCTGATATTTATTCGGACGTTCTCTCTTTGCAATCGTCCACTGTCAACTCTTGAGTAGCAATTTTAATGTGGATTGCCCGGTCTGGACGCTCACTGACATGTAACTGAGATGGTCATTGCTATCTGGGGAGTCTTATGGTGCGAATCCCTGGGGTGGAAGGAAAATGTTTCTAAAGGAAAGAAAAGGATAGTGTATTTTAACAAATTGTATATGTAGGCTACAGACATAGTTGCCAATATATTGTCTATCTGCTTGCCGACGAATTCGCGTCCTGGTCGCACAACTGGGTGCAGAAAAGACACTTGTGGCAGAATCGTGTGTCCCAGCTGGCTGCGCTGGCCATCGCGTTCCGCAGCGTCCACAAACTGCTGCAGTTGATCCTGTCGCGCGTCTGCACCAATCTCCGCGTACTCCTTCAGCTTGTCTAAATCAAGATGGCATTGGATTTCCCAGGTAGATTCCGACCATGGAAAGCTTTCTGGCTCGTCACCTGTCCAGTCTTGGTGGCTCGCATGAAAAAAAGTCTCTTAACTAATGAGCTTCACGTATATCTATCTACCTACCTATCTATCTTCCTGTCTGTTTATCTATCTATCTATCTTTCTTTCTTTCTGTCTTTCTTTTTCGTCTCTTTGTGATTTGATCTGAAGGATGTCATGCCAAAAGTGGAAATGTCATAAGCAGCGTAAGGAATCCAAATGTGTGTCGTGTCTTTTGCAACCATGGAGATTTGCTGGGAAGACTGTAATGACCTGCCTTGAAGCAAAGAATCCCAAGAAGTTTCGCCAGGCTGCTCCTCGGGCCACTTCCAGTCATCCCATGCCCCAAAGACATCTGCAACAGTAACTGCGTCATGTCCTGCACAGACGGAAGTGATCACTTCCTGCATACGGTCTACGTCAAGGGATCGTCGTAGAAATTTGGCGGCTCTTCCTGCTGCCCCAGGGACCTCCCTCAACAGATGTGGCCACTCTTGGCAAGCTTCTTGCAAATACTCTGATCTCAATCTCTTGGTGCTGTTTCTGGTTCTTGTGCTGACTCCTGGATTGTGCAAAAAAGAGAAGCGGTTCACGGCATGTGTTGTCAAGTAGGTATTTGTCATAGATCTGTGCGCCTCTCGTACCAAAGTTTCGGCAGTGTGTGGGGAGCTCCAGGCGCTGCAACTGCATCATCTGGTGAGCTTGTGTCTGTCAACCGAGCCATCCTTTGCAAGAGCCATTGTGTGTCCTGCACGATGCTACAAGCATTGATATGGGGATGCTATTTATTTTTAGTCCAGCTTGCTGACTGTAGAAAAGAAAATAATTGGCACATAGTGGCACATGTAGCATTGATTGACTTGAACTTTGAAAAAACATTGATGGCGCATAAGGAGGAAGGATACATCGGAATTCAAAATTTGTTCGAATGTGCTGGTGGTACATCATATTCTGTCTAGCCGTATTCCTGCTCCTCGTCTTTTGCAAGAGATCTTATTCACACGTTCAAGATAATAAAGTGAAGAGTCTCTATGACAACAAATCTGCTTAATAGTTCCTATGAAAACAAGTGTGGTGAAATCTGTTTGGAAGGCCACTGTGGAATCTGCATCGTGGTAGACAATGTGTCTCTTGGGTCTTATTCACGCAAGTGTTTTTGTGCTTTACGTCTGCTAAAGGCGGGGAATATCTGTCCTTCGCAGTTTGGCTATTGGGATCAATTTCTGTCAGCAGCTTCTGAGAACTTCGCGGGCAGTTTGCCTCCATGTATGGCAAGAGCCAATCGTTGTAGAATGTCCACACTGCTGCCGGTGATGCGCAAAAAGATTTTGCGTCCGGATCCGAGAGAAAACGGCACTGAGATATATCGACTTGGCTGCCATCATGCGTCAAAGAGTTGCGCATGAACGTACATAAGAACCTTCTCGAATGGGACGTTTCTAAGGCAGTAGGTAGGGACGGAATGTCGGCGGAGTTCATGAGCCATGTTTTGGCACAATACTCGAAGCTATGATAGCGCGTTTCTGGCTCATGGTTCCTGCGCATTGGAAGGAGGCCACCGGCAATCAAAACCTTCAACGTGTCTTCCTGAACTCCGGCTTCTCGCCGAACTTCGTCGAAAGTCAGCATCATGGCATTGAAGTAGGCATGTGCCTGCTGCTGCCATTCGCGCTCGACCTGCAAGGCATGTCATTCTGTCTGTCACTATAGTGACAGCAATGCTGCTGGCCAAACAAGTTAAGAAGTCTGTTTGAGTCTGATTCCTTTGTCTTATGCAACAAAGAAAACTTAGCAATACCAGGGCCACTCGCAAAGATAGGTTTCAGTGCAAACAAGTAGTACATGCCCCGCACCCGATCGTGAGCCTGGAGGACACTGCAGGCTGGATTTGCAAATGCTGTGCTGAAACAAGCTCTCATCAGTTCAACGCAAACCATGGACTTGCCATCAGCGCCTGCGCCGACGACAATGTGCATCACTTCTGGCTGTCTGTGTCGTGAAACTGCTAGGGCTGCTTGTGCCAGCAGGATGCTCAAACCATTGGTCTTGGCAAATGCTGAGACCAGCAAAGCTGCTAGACGTTGTCTGGCGTGGTCAGGCGGTGTCCACGCCAGGGCTGCTGGGACAAACATGTAGCACCCTCGGCGCGCATCCTTTTTCATCTGTCGTATTTTGCCTTTGGCCGTAGAGACATAACCTCGAAAGCAATTGAGAAAACAATCATGGCAAGCATGCATTTTTGCAAGAAATTCTCCAAAGATTGCTGTATGTCGCGTGGCAGGTGCATTGACAAAGAAAATGGTATAGGGCAGATAGGTAGACACAAAGAGCGAGAGAGAGAGAGAGAGAGAGACAGAGAGAGAGAGAGAGAGAGAAGGGGAAGGTGCATAGATGGACAGACAAGATGCATGAGGCAAAAAACGAACGGATGGAGAAAGACAGTGACAGATGGAAAGGGCAGAGAGCTGTTGGGTCCTGAGCTGATGTCTTGCACTCGCAGGTGATCGGATACATCATGGTCGTGGGTGCAGGCGAGGACTTGCGACCCAGCTCCGGCGTGCAACCCGCAAGGAAAAAGTCATGTGGGGAAACACGCGCTGGCGAGGGAAGCAGCGGTCCAGCACAGACCTCTCGGACACATGCTGACGAAGTGGAGTGATTGTGAGCTGTGCCAGGAAAAGCTTGTTTTTGAGTCTGGACTTGTCTTATGACATGCAACATGCATATCTGCGCGTTTTATTCTTTGGAGTCGTAGATCCCAAAAGCATCAATTTCAAATCTCACAAGTCACAACCTAAACGCCACGACTGCAACGACTGTCAAAAATGTGTCTGCCAAACTAAATCCAGGAAAAGTATACAATTGCCACGACTATCATCTGTGCGAGTATAGTGGGTAAACTCACAAAGATCTGACAGGTAAGCGGTAAGCATCGTGTCCCTATGCGAAGTGACAAAAAAGACACCAGTAAGTTAAAGTCATAGGCGCTGCCCATGTGGGCCTTTCCCCTTAGGCACACCACGTTTTGGCACAAGATCTTGTCATCAGCACTTGTTAGAACATCGACCCAGTAGAAGTCTGTCCCATAGTCTACTAGCTTCTTGTAGCATGTGCTTTGCATTCGGCATAGTAGCTGTCTGCTTTGAACTGACTGGATGACAGCCTACCTATTTTGTGGTCATGTGTGAAGATGCTGATGTCATGCAGTGCAAGATCATGTCGCTTCAACCAGTTCCAAGACAGCCTTCGAGTTGTGAGTTGAAAGCAGCAGTTTGGAAAAATGAATGTCAAGAAACTTACATCCGTCAGCTGCGCAGTCACATAGATGGAAGATGGTAGACTTTAAGGACCAATCAATACCAGGTCGTGTATTCTGATGTGATTCATGATCTGCCGCGTCTATGCACACATGCCGTGGAAGTCGAAAGTCCAACAGCAAGTCCGATCAACACTCTGAGCTGTGCTGTGCCACCATGCTGACTAATCTGTCAATTTATTTTCTGACAGGTTGACAAGAATGGTTATCATGTGAAATGCGGCATGTGGCGTGGCTGTGACATGTCGATCCCTGTATGTGGCTAGGGCGCGAGCAATCTGCGAAAGCGATGCCAGCGTAGCTTTTGGCGTCCAGTGGCGAGTCAGACCAACGGAGAAAGGATTTGACCAGTGATCGGCTATGGTCTTGCAGAGCCTTGCGCAAATCACGTGCAAGCTCAGCACAGCCAAGGGACCATTGCCTGGAGCGTTTCTCTGGTTTGGCTGCGCTGAACTCTCCCAGTTGCCACTCCAACAAAGGTTCATCTGTGGACATACTCAAGATAACCTTCAACTCCCACGCCACCGAGTCATAGTCACGTGTGACTTGGTTTCCTTATTTGACTGAGGGGCAGCAAGCAGGAAACAGATCGATATATGTAGCATATGCAGCTTTTCGACGGTAAACCTGTATGTCTTCAAGTAAATGTCGAAAATATAAGGGGTTTGCCATCAAATAGGACCTGTGAGGGGTCAAGAACTGGACGTGCCTGAACTATATGATTACACATGCGCATGAAGGGCTATTGGGTTGACATTGACTGAATGCATACCGTTCCCGTCAAAACACCGGATTTCATTTGTTGATGTCTTTGTGCAAGCGTGGAACGATCGATCGGATGAGCGAAGTAAGCTTGCGCTCGTCGCAAAGCCATGGTCAGAAATTCTAGATCTTCCGCTGTCAAAGTGCCCCCAGGCGACATCTGCCACGCACCTTGCCTGTAGGTGAACAAAGTATCTTTGTGAGATCGATAGCGTTCGCCCAGCAGCAAAGTAAAGATCTTTGTGTGCAAGACTTCCGATTTCGCATCGTCTGCGCAGGCGTCTAGTAGCAACAGGGAAGCCTAGGCCAGGCATTCAGTTGAAGTTCACACACTTGCGCACTTTCATCCTTGGCGCTGAATAGCATTAGTTCATTAGTTTCCCTCGCTTGCGCAATGAAGAAACATTAAACAATCAGCCTAGCTCTCTAGGAAACTCTGAGGTGAGGTGGGATGTGATGGGGTGGGTTGCTCTCGTACCTTGACAAGCGGACCAAAACGGTCACTGAGGCGGCCATCTGCAGCGCCGAGCAGCAAGCCAAGAAAGCAGGGCGGCCATGGTCGCCATCGAAAAAATATGAGAGGAAGACTATCCCCACTTCAATATTTGAGGGAAATGTCATTGTACATCCGTTTGGTACATTTCTTGTTAATGTGAAGCAATGTAGGTTTCGTATGATTATGTTCGTCTATACATAGGAACTTGATGCGCAACAGTCAAACGAAGAACGTGTTCTTCACTGGCAGATGTTTTGATCTCTGGCAAATTATGTGTTGCATCAGAAGTCAACCATGCTATCAGCTTCAGGCTGCACCATAGATGGTATCGCAGCTGCGTAAGAAGTGTTGCGAAGCAACCTGTAAAGGTAGAGCAAGCTTGCCATGCCACGCAAAATGTATGTAAAAAGCATCCCGTGCCGCGCCTTCCACGCAGTCAACGCAGCAAGCACAAAGGCAGCACGCGTCCCCCCAAGAGCAAGTGGCGCCATAAGCGTCGCACCCGATCACCAGCGTCCAGCCTCATTTCGTAGTCTTCTTCCTCAGATTGAAAGTACCGAATTCGCGACGCAAACCGCAGCTGACAAGCACCATGTACTGCACCTGCCACGTTAACGGTATTGCAATAGCATCACTTGTCGCACCTCCCATGCGCAAGGGCAGCAAGTATAAAGCACCTTCTGTGCCAAACTGAGCAGAGAAGCCACGGTCCGCTGCACCCCTTCCTTATTCACAAGAACTGCGCATGGCCACAAACGTCTCATCAAAATGGGAAAGTTTCGCGCCTTCCACGCACAAGGGAGACAGGAAACTCACAGCGTAGGCCGCGCCAGACGCGTCACAGATGATCCTGCAGTACCAGCACCGCTTTTTTTTGTATTCGATATATGCTGCACCTACCAGAGAAATTACACGCCTGCCACGCCCTAGGTATCTCAGAAGGAGCGAGACAGGCAATCTGTAGCACCTCCTCAGTGCGGAGCCAAGACTGCGCAGGCAGCACAAAAGTCAGCTCAGAAGTACACAGTGTCGCACCTGCCACACGCACACAAAGGCAAGAGCGCCTGCCACTGCATGCAAGGGGCACCGTGCACCGCGCGCGTCAGATGCGATTCTCCGCTTTCAGTTCCTTTCCGTCCTTACACACAAAGGAACGCGCCTGCCACGCCAATGTCACATGGGCATGACTTCATGTGTAAAGAGGAAGCAAGTCCAGTACACAAGCGGGGCCAAAACCCAGTGCATTCAATGGAAAAAAAAGCGTGCACAAGCGACTGTTCGCCCAGCTGCCTGCGCTGCTGCCCGCTTCAGAAGCCAAGTCTGGTCCAGAATTTTATTCTCCCACTGGAAGGTGCTATCGATGCGCTGCCGAAGGGTATCCATAGCTTCTGCTAAAGAAGCTGGTCGGGTTTCTACATCCGGGGTGAAGGAGCGGTTCCTGACGTCCAACATCTGCAAATCCGCAGGACACCAGGCACGAGTCACGGCTAGGTAGTCCTGTGCCTCTGCTGGAGCCTGTGTTTCCTGTGAATTTGTGAGCTGGACGTCTTCGGCAATCTCTAAGGTTGCGTGGCGCTGGTGCAGGATCTCTTCGTTCGTCTCCGCATCTGCCCTTCTGCGGTCATAGTCAGAGTTCCAAGCGTCCATCTCCGCGGATATGCAGTTGACAGGCGTCGCTGTAGAGTTGTTGTTGTTTCCTACCCGTGTATTTAGCTATCTATCTATCTATCTATCCATCCATCCATCTATCTATCTATCTATCTATCTGGTTATCTATCAATCTATCTACTACCCAGAACTGAGTCTAGTATACTATACAATGTTTGTTTGCCATCCCGAGGCATCCCTGCAGGAATGCGTGAAGTTCGCTCGTGAGGAATTTATGATAGATTTTAGTGTGTTTGTGTTGTGAAGTGAAAACCATCTCACTCAGCACTAGTTCTCGAGTAACATGATGCCGGTTCAAACAGATGTAACACATTGCCGCAATGTTACATGCAGAAAGCTGTCGGGTCTTCTGTCCGTTTAAATTTTATCGGATGAATCCGCAGGGGAAATTGCCAAACGCATCTAAACGCAACGTTTGCAAAGCAACTGAAACAACAGGCAGCTGCCAATTTGTTCACGGCGTGTCCCAATTTTTTTTGGATGATCTGACAACACGACTGCGCAACATTCACAAAAATTGGCACAAATTAAAATCAAATAGACCGCGGAGTGCGAAGTGCACACAGTTGCGCCAAGTTCGGTTGGCGGCAGTGTTTATACATGTCATGGAAATATAAATGCATACATGTATAAGTATAAAAAAGATAAACGCATATATCTATATATTATATATAAATCTATTCACATAACGTCGCGGCTAAGACGCGGAGTGCGAAATACGCGGGTTGGGGAAGCGCACCCGACCATGGCAAGGGGAACGCCGCACACCAACGGACACGCAGGGGGGACGGGGGAAGGTGGGATTTCAGATCTCTATACATATATGTACAAATTATCCGACCGAACTGACGAGTCAGTATATGGCGCGTGAGTGGCACCGCGCCGGTCCAGAATTTTATTCTCTCACTGAAAGGTGCTATCTATGCGGTGCCAAAGGGTATCCATAGCTTCTGCTAAAGAAGCTGATGGGGTTTCGACGTCCGGAATGAAGGAGCGGTTTCTAACGAACATCGCGCGCAAATCCGCAGGACACCAGACACGAGTGACAGCCAGGTAATATCCTGTGCCTCTGCTGGGGCCTGTGTTTCCTGTGAATTTGTCAACCGGACGTCTGCTGCAATCTCTAAGGTTGAGTGGCGCTGGTGCAGGATCTCTTCGTAAGTAAACAAAAAGATAAATAAATGTATATATTTATATATATTTATAGTTAGAAGGATCTTTCAAAGAGAGTGCAAGGTTGCGGAACAAGCAGTGTTGATGCAGCGCATTACGCGTAAACATCATGGAGTGTACGTTGCATAAAGTATCACACATATTCATGAAACAAAGACTCGGTATACAAGCATATCATATAATGTATTTATCGCATTCGTCATACGTCGTTGCCACGCCGTCCAAAACATAAACCAAACAGAAAACACAAAAACCGAAAACACATGACATGAAAAGCATCGACATCACTGAATGAGAATGAACTGAATGTTCGAAACGCACATCTGACATGTGTGACATCCACAGTTTCACGTTTATTTGTTTAAGATGATTGACAGATACTGCACTGGAATCATAGCCACCGAAACATCATATCCACGTAAGACATTTTTACGCGTGTAGAACATTGGTGCACATTCAAAGTTTGAAAGCCGCTCATGCCTTCGCTTTCCGTCTGACTATAAACCAGCATTAGCAAGCGAACGCAAAACATAAATATATGTAGATATAAACAAATATATATATATATACATCTATTCATATAACGTCGCGGCTAAGACGTGGATTGCGAAATACGCGGGTCTGGGAAGCGCACCCGACCATCGCAAGGGGAACGCCGCACACCAACGGACACGCAGGGGGGACGGGGGAAGGTGGGATTTCAGATCCCTATGCATATATTTATATCTGTATTTTTATATAAACATATATATATATATACATATATATAAACACACATATATATATATATATAATATACAAATATCCAAATGTATCCGACCGAACTGACGAGTCAGTATGTGGCGTGTTAGTGGCACCGCACCGGTCCAGAATTTTATTCTCCCACTGGAAGGTGCTATCTATGCGGTGCCAAAGGGTATCCATAGCTTTTGCTAAAGAAGCTGATGGGGTTTCTACACCCGGAATGAAGGAGCGGTTTCTAACGAACACCGTGCGCAAATCCGCAGGACACCAGACACGAGTGACAGCCAGGTAATATCCTGTGCCTCTGCTGGGGCCTGTGTTTCCTGTGAATTTGTCAACTGGACGTCTGCTGCAATCTCTAAGGTTGAGTGGCGCTGGTGCAGGATCTCCTCGTAAAGAAACAAATAGATAAATGAATATATATATATATTAATATATTAATATAAATATTTATATATAGATACACACATATATATATATAATTACTTATATACAAATCTATTCATATAACGTCGCGGCTAAGACGCGGAGTGCGAAATACGCGGGTTGGGGAAGCGCACCCGACCATGGCAAGGGGAACGCCGCACACCAACGGACACGCAGGGGGGACGGGGGAAGGTGGGATTTCAGATCTCTATACATATATTTATAAATGTATCCGACCGAACTGACGAGTCAGTATGTGGCGTGTTAGTGGCACCGCACCGGTCCAGAATTTTATTCTCCCACTGGAAGGTGCTATCTATGCGGTGCCAAAGGGTATCCATAGCTTCTGCTAAAGAAGCTGATGGGGTTTCTACACCCGGAATGAAGGAGCGGTTTCTAACGAACACCGTGCGCAAATCCGCAGGACACCAGACAGGAGTGACAGCCAGGTAATATCCTGTGCCTCTGCTGGGGCCTGTGTTTCCTGTGAATTTGTCAACTGGACGTCTGCTGCAATCTCTAAGGTTGAGTGGCGTTGTTGTTGTTGTTGTTGTTGTTGAGTCAGTATGTGGCGTGTTAGTGGCACCGGTGATGGTGATCATCATGATGACGTTGTTGTTCTTCCTCCTCTTCTTCTTCTTCTACTTTGTTAGTGGCACCGGTGATGGTGATCATCATGATGACGTTGTTGTTCTTCCTCCTCTTCTTCTTCTTCTTCCTCTTCTTCTTCTTCCTCTTCTTCTTCTTCGTCTTCTTCTTCTTCTTCGACTTCTTGTTCTTGTAATTGTTTTTGTTGTTGATGTTGCCGCTCTTGTTCTTAGTCTTGCTTTTGTGGTTGTGCTCTTCTTCTTGTTCTTGTTCTTGTTCTGTTCCTTGTTCTGTTTCTTGCCCTTGTTCTTTATCTGGTTGTTGTTTGTTGCTTTTACAAGGTCCAAGTCGCATAGGCCGGAACTGTCCATCAGACGCCCCCCCCCCCAGGTAAACCTGTAACCTTTTACGAGTGCCATCCGGACGATCACGCCCCAGCACCTTCGGTGCGGGCGGATTTTCACAAGAAAAAAATAAGGACATATTTTAGATTAAGTCACTAACTTCCGCGTTCTAGCTTCTTGCCGGCGCCAGCCAATGTCAGACTATTCGATATGTGTGAAATGAGGAAGTTTATAACGATACACAAATTCAATGAAATTCATATTTTTTTGGAAACTCTTTCTCCCGGGTGTGCCGTGGCAAGTATTGTTTAAGGCACTATCTGCTATTTTGGGGCCAACACATTATCTATCAAGACCCAGCCTGCAGTGACCAAATTGTGCAAACGACTGAAACCAGAACAAACTGCGTTTTCCAAAGGCAAAATGGACCCATCCAACAACACATCGACACATATTTTTACGTTGCAACCGGTCTAGTGGTTCTGCTTGCATTTTGGTGAATGGCAAAGGCATAAGTCCGAAGGGCACTGTTGAATATACTGCAGTATCGGTTCGAACAGAACCAGCCACCATCCATTTCTACGAAACAGCGTAACAGATGCCATAGCTTTGACTGCCATAGCGCGGCAAACGAAATGCTTTTGCGCTAGGTGCTGAAAGTTAGACATGGCCGATCGCTTTTGTGCCAATTGCCTTGTCACGGCCAGGCTTAGGAGTGCTGAAGTGCAAACTTAGTGGCAAGCGAATTGTGGGCGTGCCGCTTTTTCATGGCAAGCTCTGTGTTTGCACGATACCGTTTTTGAAACGTGTGGAACAACATTTTAGGTGGCAAGAGCAATAAAGTTTGACAGTTTGACACTTGACTTATCATTACTACCTTACTACCCCCGATCCCAAAAAATGCATTTTTGGATTCTCAAAACCTCTTCCTGAAAAACGGGTCTATCTTAAGGAAACAACATACGGGTCTTTGTTCTATAAGGGAGCAAATCAAACGCCCGAAAAACGTACTCTATATTTTCTGGCTTCCATTCTTATTACCAAGGGCATCCCAAACATGAACAGCACATTGTTAATGATATATATGATGTGGTTCTTCTGGATTGCTAAACTTGACACATTATACCCCTGGAAAATGTATGGTCCATGCCTTCCATGAACAACTCATTCCACAGAACTTCTACTGTGTGACAGTATGTAATATTGTGCAACAAACTGGTTTACTATAGTTTAATGATGCTTAATTCTGCAAAGTGGGTTAGGGATGTTAGGGGGGTAAAGGTTGCCAACACCTTTTGGGCTTATCCACAGTTCAATATTGCATTTTCTACCTCTCTTCCCCTCATTTGTTTAAGCCCTTTCATGAACTTTAAAGCATTGTTGGGGAACGAGGGGGTATCAAGAAAATGTTCCAAGTCCTTGGGTATAGCACAAAGATGCACAAAGGGTTATGATATAACGTTCCCTCCCCTAGTTATATTTAGGGTACAAGTTGGTATCAGGTAGTCGTGCTGGACATTTTTTTTACGTCCCGGACGTGCCTTAGAGCCTCTGGGGCAGTGATATTGACTTGCATTTGCCTTCCAAAGAGGTCTTGCCAGATTAAAGATCTCTAAAATACCTGTAAGGTTTTCCCAAAAGGCAAGTAATGGTCGCGAAATGGCAATCAAAATAATGTGTCCGTAGAATCCCCATGAAGTATAC